TTCAGATACTTTCAACACAAGATACAGGCAGGATCCCCACTGAATTCCACTAAACCTACTTCTGGGAAAAGAACTTAATTTTTAGTCCAAGCCTAAAGAAAAGTCACTGCCACTATCTTTATCCTTTCTGGGGCAGCTGTTGTTTGGAACTGCATGTTGCTGCAGCATTCTCTTCTTCACATTTCCAATTATAGAAACAGTTCACCCAGGAAAAATGTCCAATTATTGCCAACCCAATTTGAGAGGGATTAGTGCTTTTGGATTGTCTCTCACACACATTATTTACTTTTGATAATTTTAGCTTCATTTCTGAACTCTTAAGAGTAGTGGTCCTCAACCTGTGGGCTACAACTGACTAGTGGACTGTGAGGGGATTGCAATTGGGCCATGGAAATGGCCTGTGAGTAATGCGCGCCCACGCACATTCTCACTTGTGAGCTCAGCGGGCAAGCGTGTGCATATGTGTTCCATTTGCATGAGCGGCAGGCACATGCACATCGCTTGTGCAAATGGAGCTGTCTGTGCATGCGCATTACCAGCCGCTCACGTGGAATGATCCCTTCCCCCAATGCTGATCTGCAAAGCCTGAAATGTTGGAGAACTCTATTTTAAAGCTCCGTCTACAGATTCTGAATATTTTCCATTTCCAAGAACCTCAACGTAAACACCCTATTTGTACCAGGGCTCTTGGAAACAAATAATAATACAATGGATAACTGGCCATAAAAACATCACTGCAAATAATTATTTTTTCTTCCTTTCAGTCATGTCCAATTTTCGAATACTGCCTGGACTAGTCCATGCAGTGTTCTTGGCCAAGTTTTCCAGAAGTGGTTTGCCATTGTCTCATTCCTTGGGCTGAGAGAAAGTGACTGGCTGAGGGTCATCCAGTTGGGAGGGTCACAAACAGCGATCACGTGACCCTGGGTTGTTGCATCTGTCACAAATACATGCTGGTTGCCAAGCACTCAAACGTGACCCTAGAGATGCTACAATGGTCATAAGTGTGAGGACTGGTCCTACCAGTCACTTTTTTCAGTGTTGTAACTTTCAAATGGTCGCTAAATGAATGATTGCAACCTGAGGGCTACCTGTATAGATTTTGAACTTCTTCTTAGATTTTTGTATGGAGTTTGGGATCTGTTTAAGCTACCTAAGCAAACACTACATCTTTGTAAGAAACCTGACTCAAAATGGCAGGAAATCATATCCCTGATTTTTTAGTAAATGAGGCTGTGGGATCCCCAAAAGGCACAAAGACTTGGAACATGAGCGCACAAGGCCTTAGACTACACAATTCTGAAACTGAAACAAGAGGTTAAATCAGCCATGTCCCTTAGAAAGCTTTTGTGGCTGTTTTGACAGTCCTTTGCCTGGAAGGCAGTCTCGGTGGAAATATTCCCTGCAATAGATGCGGAGACAACTGGGAACAGCTTTTGAATTGGCCAGATGAGCCTTGCAAGACACAAGATTTCATTTGTGCTAACTGGCCTAGCAAAATGCTTCTTTGAACTGCTTTGCACAGCCTGGTTATCTATCAAGACCATATGGAGGATCAGCATATTCCCCACTGATTTTCCAACTCTGATTCTTTGTTTTTTAGCTCTCCTACTGACCATCACTGAAGAATACAGAGAGCCATCATCAGAATACAGGTAATCCCCAAGTTATGTGCATTCGCTTAACGCTCATTCGAAGTTATGCGATCAGTGCCCTCTAGTGTTTACGAGCAAGTCCCAAAATTACAAAAATTGCAGCATCACGGCAGTCCATGCTATGAGAGATTGGAAAATCCATGTGACTGCCAATGGGGGCTTCAGAAACGTAAAGGAACACTCCATTTCTGAAGCCTCCCCCCATTGGCAATCATACAGACTTTCGAATCTCTTTCAGGTCTCCTTTGGATAAAGTGTTTATGCAAGGATTCGCTGCGCTTTTAACAGCCCCACAGGTGCACAAACACTTTTTATCTGAAGGGAGACTTGAGAGAGATTGAAAGGTCCGTGTGACTGCCATTGGGGGGAACTTCAGAAACGGAAAGGGACGCAAATCTCTCTCAGGTCTCCTTTGGATAAAAAGTGTTTGAGCGGCAGCCGGCTTGAGTTTCTCCACTCCGTCCGAGTGGAAAGAAGCGGAGGCACAGAGTGGGATTGCTCTCAATAATGCTGGTGCATGCAAGCGAGCAGCGCACCCGCATCTTCTTGAGAGCAATCCTACTCTGCACGTCTGCTTTTTTCTTTTCAGCCGAAGCGAAGAAACTCAAGCTTCATTCCTGCCCTCAAACTAAGGCTGGCACACGCAAGCGAGCAGCATACCCAGGCCACAGACAGCATTGATTCCTGTGCTCATCCAACTGCAATTCCATGCTTTGCCCCATAGGCATGGAAACACTTCCCCTCCCCTCCCAGAATGGAAGCTTCCAGGGGCCATGATCTCTTGCAGAGAATTTGTGTTTGAACTCACACAATGTTACAGCACCCAGGAGCTTCCATTGTCAGCACGAAAAGCATTTCCAAGCCAACTCTCTTCTTCCTCAAAGAAAAAGAAACCGCGACAAAGAGGAGACAGATTTTGCAAGGCGAATCTGGCATGGCAGGAATGGAGGGGGAAGCAGTTGTGGGGAGTGGTGGTAGGGAGTAGGGTGAATGTTGCAGAGCCTCTGCGAACGACTGCCATGGTGCTGCAATATTCATAATTTTGGGACTTGCTTGTAAACACTAGAGGGCGCTGATCGCGTAACTTCAAATGAGCGTTAACTGAACGCTTGCAACTCGGGGATTACCTCTGTACGATCCAGTGATGTTTGCATGAATTGTACCTATGTACTGGGTTTATATCCCACTTTGCTTTAAAAAGCTTATGAATTCAGCTTTTTAGCTCATTGCCATCCAGTTATTGATAATTAAAGTTAAAATATTTAATCTAACCTACAGCCCTGGTATTGCTAGTGTCACCTGCTCCAAGCTAGGCAAATCTGATCCTGCTTAGATCAGTGCGATATGATTAAATTATATTTTAAGACGTTCAGTTGTAAGTTACCTGTAGTCTCTAACAGTGCCTTTGGTATTTTTAAGATGTGTGGACTTCAACTTCTAGCTGGCTGGGGAATTCTGGGTATTGAAGTCCATATACTATCAGTACTAGAAGTTGCTAAAGTTGAGAAACACTGGTCTATGGGCTCAACAAATGGGCCCATTCTAAAGTTGAAATTAACTTATTATTATCAGGCAGAGCTTTATTGTAGATGTTTGTAATTTATCACTGTAGCTGTATTTTATATTAAGTTTTAAACTTCAACTAAACTATTCTACTGCTAGGTTTTGTGTAGAATTTCTCTCTAATTTCATTTTTCTTCAGGCCATACTGCTACTGATTCAGGATATTTCATCTGAAGAAACAGATTCTAATCAATATTCGTCTATGCCATAATGAAATTGAAGGGGCTGCTTGATGCTTTTTGGGTTTGGCTGTAACAGGATAATACAATAATATAGAAAACTCCCATTAGAAATCAGGGTTTTATGTATCAGTTCTAATGTGTATCTGTTTTTGATTAACTTGCGTGCAACACCAGAGGCGCTAATGAAAAAAGTCACAAGTTCTATGAGCAGAAACTGGATCTTTATATTTTGGTATCCATAAATAGCATCTTAATCTGCTTTCGTTCAAAGTATACCTATCTAGATTTGGATTTAGTTTCTCCTCTTGGAGTATTTTAACCGATCTAGCTTTTTTTTTTTTCAGATTCTTCTAGACAAAATACTTGTCTTTGTCTTCCACACCTGATGAACTCTTCTCCTCAAGAGAACCTCCTAGAGCAACTCACTAGTCAGTTTAGACTTAATGTTATGATACAGGGTATCTTTGTTTGCAAATAGTAGCCTCTGAGAAAGCATCCCCAGGGCCACACAAGTCAAAACAGAGAGGTGATACTTTCCAAATACTCCCCTATGGGCTGAGAAAACTTTCATCAATCTTCCATCTCTGTTGCTAGTAGGGACAAAAGACAAATAATGAGTTATCAGTCCAGGAAAAGTTTGGATTCAAATCCCACTATCTTCCTATAGAAAAAAGATACATTTATACCTATAGGGATTTGCTTTTAGTTGTTCTATTTGCCCAAGCAAAGCTGAGAACTGGGGATAGTATACAATAGATGGCTCAAATAACCAATTCTGTCCCCTTCTCTCACCAGGAGGTTTGCTCCAATTGTAAACAACAGCCCAAAAAGGTAAGTAGCTAAAACAAAAGTACCGGAACTGAAAGGAGAAAAGCTGCACCTCAACTGTTATTTCCACACAGTCATAAAATACAGAACCTTCACTCGTTATCAAATACAGGCCTTCACTGAGAGGCTGAAATAATCTTGGCAGCTAAGACAGATTTCATAGGTATGGTGCCAATAATTAACAACAGGATAATAAACTGGACTAGGTAGTAAAATAATTCAGAAGGAAGAATAACTAGAATTAGGATCCAAGTCACCAAAACAGAGGAAAAAGGGCATTTGAGTCAAACTCTTAAAACTCAAAATTAAAAGAACACAATCCCTAAATATAATCTTCCCCATTTTTATGCTTACTCCTTTGTTGACCAAATGTAAGAACTACAGAAATGCACTGGCAATTTTTCAGAAGGAAGATACAAATCTTTTTTGAAAGCTATTTGCAGAATGCTATTAGGGCAAAAGTTTCTACAGAGCTTCAGCTGAAAAATATCAGGTATAAAGAGCCTGCATTTTATTCTAACTAATGAACACGTGCTTTGGAACACATCATCCACGAGGCAGCCAACATTTTTAGAATATTTAAGAAAACTGCAAGAGTTGGTGTGGGCACACCTCCCCCACCTGCCACTTCAAAGCTCCATGATCTGGTTGGTTTGCTGATATAGATATGCCAAAGAAAATGCAGACACTACTGAAACTGCATAAGTTTGGTTGACGGGGGTGGAGGAATTATTGTAGGTATGTAATTATGGTTGAACACTGACAAACTCTCTCAAGTTCTGTTTGAAATTTTTATTTGGAGTCCAGGGTTTTCTGGTCTTTGTAAGGAAGGAAATCCATAACAAATGGGATGAAGAATGTTAAAAGGTTATTCACATCTTTCAGTTCTAAAGAATATTTTTCTGCTATTTTCTCAGCAGTCCATGTCTCTGGAGAGCGCTGATGGTTGTTGAGAAGAGTCAAGGCTTCCTCTGTCAAGATTTTGCCTTTGGGAATAGTCTGAATGTCCTGATAATTGAACTGCCCATCTATTATCGGCCTGTAATCCTCCTGCTTATGTGGGAGATTTCTCCCTTTTTTTTTCTTCTAGAAGATGGCGAGAGAAAAAACAGTCACAAAAAAATCTGTTAGAAATGTGTTAGTCAATGTTCTATTTCTATATTAAAGAATTTATTTTTCATATAATCACCTATAATGAAGTTATGAACTACAAATAATCCTTGGGTTACAATGGCAATTGGAAGTGGACATAAAGCAGAATGTCACATGACTGCAATGGCAAGAGCCATTATCATTGTTAAGCAAGGACTCACATTATCTAAACAGAAGTCTTTAGATGCAGGATCCAGTGCCAATTATAGCCACCCTACTTATTTTATCTAAATGCAAGCCTGCTTACTTTTACATTTCATCCAATTGGTTTTGGCCAAATGTTCCAGCCTGTCAAAAAAGCCTCAGTATCTTATTTCTATTTATAATTGATTAGTCGTGAAAATATTCCCAATGAAGATTTGTGCTTTGGGTAACCTAAATGACAAGAGGCCTTACCCATTAATACACAGGATAAGAGACATAACCTCAGAGGTGCATCTTTTCTGAAAAATAAATGACCAGTCACACCACCTAATCATGAGGTAAAAAAAATTTTTATACACCTCGTTATTTTTTTAAGAATTTTAGAAAACTTTAAGTGGACTATTCAGAATTAGCCACAGAGCCTTAGTTTGGGTAACTGAGGCCAAGCAATTAATTGTTGGGCAAAAGATGCAAGACGAGGGAAGAAGAATAAGGAAGCCTTTGGAAATCCTACAGCCTAGTGTTTTTCAACCTTGGCAAGTTTAAAATGTGTGGATTTCAACTTCAGGACTTCAGCAAGCTGGGCTGGGAAATTCTGGGAGTTGAAGTCCAGACATCTTAAGAGTCACCAAGGTTAAGAAACACTGCAGCCCCTGTAAGACAGTGTCCCCTTGCCAAGTCATCAGTCAAAATTGCAGGCTGGGGACCAGTAAGGAAGGAGTGATCCTTCTTTCTCTTTTTAGCGCCACCTAGTGGGCTGCCAGAAGAAAGACTATTCTTTTCTTAAACGGATCCCTTGCAGAGTGAAATTAGGCTGAGCCACTGACCTATTTTATAGCATCCGAAAACACAAAGAATTTATAAACTGATATGCTAAGAGCTGTTCTTGCTTGAGAGTTTTAATTGCCATGAAAAGGCTAAGCACAGGGTCTGCTTTGCAGTAGACTACTGAAAAAGAAGACCAGCTATGAATGTCTTATATATTATTAGACAACTGCTTTATCAGAATCAACAGATCCGTCTTTGATCTGCTGCCATTTATTTTCCTTACTGGGTTTTACATTCTGACAGTTCCAAATAATTGAATTTTAAAATAAGCAATGCTAGGAGAGTGAGGGATTACCCTTTTAAGATTTTTTTTTCCATTTCTCAAAGTTGCCACCAAGCTCCCCAGAAATCTCTTTATAGATTGATGCAGGATTGATATCTCTTTAAATACTGTAAAAGGATAGTGGAGGACAGCAGCGATAGCAAACACAGCCATGGTCTTTTTTTTCCATATAACCTCATGAAATATTAAAATTCAGACTAAAAATAACTATCTCTGCGACTACAATGAGTGAGGGAGAGATGAACAGAAACGAGGCAAATAAAGATCTGGGACAGAAAGTAGAGCAAGCTACCAGAGGCACAGTGCAGGCAAAAAAAAAAGGGGGGGGTGGGGGGGTGGGAGATGGCATCTCCAAGCAGGATATTCTTCAGCATTTCTTTCTAACTTCTAAACTCTGAGAATAAGCTGTCTATAGGCCCTGAACTTAGCTCGTTCTCCAAATGCACGAGAGTTATTCTCCAGTTATCTCTCTGATATAAAAGTCAACATCAATTATCTTAGAAATTAAGAGAGAAAGCCCTATTAAATACAGATAACATTATTCCTGAATAAACTTCCAGATATTTGGTCATCTATGAGCACTTTAATGTCAAATCCCAAATACAGGTAAGTTGTTCAGATGTTCTTACTTTTGAATACAAGTAGTCACCAACTTATGACTACAATCGGGACCAGGATTTCCTTTGCTATGCAAAGGGTTATTTAAGTGAGTCCCATCCAATTTTAGGCCCCCTTTTTACCATGGTTTTTAAGTGAATCACTGCAATTGACAAGAGAATCCAGCTTCCTACATTTATTTTGCTTGTTGGAATCTGGCTGGAAAGATTACAAATGGAGAATCACATGATCGCCATTTGTAACCTAGGTGCTCTCGTGGCGCAGTGGTTAGAATGCAGTATTGCAAGCTAACTCTGCCCACAGTCTGGAGTTTGATCCTGACGGGACTCGAGGTTGGCTCAGCCTTCCAAGGTTGGTTAAATGAGAACCTAGATTGTTGGGGGCAATATGCTGACATTGTAAACCGCTCAGAGAGCACTATAAAGCACTATGGAGCAGCATGTAAGTCTAAGCTATCCCAGGATGCTGCAACCATCAAAAATACATGCCAACAGCCAGGCGCTCAAATTCTGATCACATGACCATGGGGTTGCTACAACAGTGTAAGTGCAAAGAGCGGTCATAAGTCACTTTTTTCAGCACTCTTATAATTTCAAATGGTTGCTAAATATATGGTTGTAAGTCAAGAATTACCTACGAGCATCTTTAAGTGCGCTTCGAATTACCAGGAATTCTGATGCATTTGCAGTGCATTGCCCAAATAACGCAAAACAGAATTTTGAGCAGGTGAAATAAAAAAAGACATTTGGGAAATATGTGAAAGAGATTTACAGATAGATCCTTGCATTTATTAGATAGATAAATGTCACTGAGAATGGGAAATATATGAGGTTAATTGCATTCATAAACTGAAAGAAATATCCTGCATTGGCTTGTACTGATATGGATAACAAATCAATATAAGAATGCAACAACTGTATCATGAAAAACCCTGAAACTTCTTTTGCCCCCAGTTTTGATTTGTAAAGCTGAATTATCAATGTGTGTGTGTACAATTCAAGACTCTGTAACTCACTTGCAAGCCTGGATCATTGGACTCAACATAGACGTCTTTCAAGAAACTAAGAAGTTTTTCATCTTTTTTCTTTATTTCTTCTTGGAAACTGGCAGACCCTGAAGAAAATAAACATACAAACCATAACTTTCCGTTTTTAAGAACAAAATAGCACAGTTCCAATAGAAGAGAATGTATGTCTTGCCAGGGTTAGTGGGGGTGTGGTTTTCTCCTTGGTAGCTTCTTGAATAGGATATTGTTTTCTGTTTGATTGTCTCCTTAATAGTTCCTTGAAACAAAAAGACCAGAACCAATCCTCTTCAGCAGCCAACATCCAGATAAGCAGAGATCAACACCTAACAAACAACCAAGCAAGTATAAAACGATACCCTAATCAAGGAACTACTAAGGAAAAAACAACATCTCCACCAATACTGGTGGGGCAAGCTACTGTATATAAATAAAACAAACACCACTCTCAATAGCACTGATAATGTTACCTAGTAGATTAATGAAATGCCTGAAAGCAAACTAATGGACTCCAGTACAGTTCTAAATGAAATCATAAACAAAAAGTTTGCATGTGCATTTACAAACACAGACACCCCACATACACAGAGAGAGAGACACATACAGGCTACTGAACTGCCTTTGAAATAGCCTGTACTCTTAAAACTTGAAAACAATTATTCCTCTAACTTGGGTCAGACCCATTTAATGTGTGCTGAGGAGCTCTGTCGTTGTACAGTATAATGGAGACATGGAAGACAAGGGGCAAAGAGGGTTTTCTGTGAAGTTAAGTAGGCCTGTCACCTTAGGAAAGAAATTCTATTTCTAACTCCTTGTCAGAAGGTCACAAATGGTGATCGCATGACCCCCGGGGAGACTGCAACTATCATAAATATGAGTCACTCGCCAAGAGGCTGAATTTTGATCATGTGACCATCGGGATGCTACAATGGTCATAAGTGTGAAAAACGGTCCTAAGTCGCTTTTTTCAGTGCCGTTGCAACTTTGAATGGTCACTAAATGAACTGTTGTTAAGTCAAGGACTACCGCTACCTGCTTCCTTACGGGAGTTATAAATTCGTTCTTTTGCAACACGGCTATTTCGGGTAAAGAACGGCAGACAGGGGAAAAAAAGGAGGAGATATTGTTCAATCATTTGTACAGTTACATCTCCACTGATGGCACAGGAGGACTTCCATATCCACGCTCTGTCTCGGCATCCTTGCACTTCAATTGCCTCCAACTACTGTTCGCAGACTGCTCATGGCTGCAGAGGCGCAGGCGAATGCTACTGAAAGTCCGACAAGCCAATCCCTCGAAAGGCGGGACCCAGAGCTAACTAACGCGCGCGCGATTTTCCAAAACTTGGGAGCGAAAGGAGGGTCGCTTCAATGTCACCAATGACACCATGCCCTCGAAATCGCGGCCGCTTTTGTTTATGCACCCCCCCCCCCCAGACCGGACTCTGCCGTGCTGATCATTTAAAGGACAACGCCTGACCAAGTAAATCTTCCCTTCCTCTGCAAGTTTTACTCCCAAGGCCGGGCTCCCATAGATGTAAAGGGAAGGAACCTAGTTCTTTTTGGACGCAGTGACAACAGTCCTTCCCTGCCGGGGGCGGAGGGGGCTGCCCAGGGAGATTCCCTGCCTGGACGGCGCCTGGTTCCCTTTCTTCCCCCAAATGCTTTTAATCCAGCCTCTCTGCAGTAGAAACCAAAGGAAGCGGCGCAGGGCATTTGCGCCCGCTGAACTCACAATCCGGCGTGGCAAGGGCTGCGGCTGGATGGCGCGGGGCGGGCCTGGGTTTCTTCTTACTGATTTCCCGGTGCGCTCGGTTCTCCACGTTAAACTTGCTAAGCACGCGGGTCAGCCTGCCGCCCATCGCACCGGCTCACGCACTCACCTCCAAACGCGTCGGGGAAAATGTCAGTCTGGCGTTTGCGCAGAAGGCCGGCAGTTGGCGCACAGACCGCGGCTGAGGGCGCCACCTACTGGAGCGGAGGTCGGGTTGTTCTAAAAGAGAAAGTCGAATTCTGGGATTTTTTCCCCTGTGAATCAAGGAAGGTGTGTGAGGTGGAAACTCTGCGATCCAATTAGGGTTGGGAGGACACAGACAATTGGAAAAGAGGACACACCTTTTAACTTTCTTGGCGTCCGTGACAAATATTACAGCGAAAAACCGCAGAAAAAAAGGAACTACACTTTTAGTATCAGAAAGAACAGTTTTTCAATTGCTGTATTTTTCTTATAAATCTTTATTGTCAAAAACGTGTCAGTGGTAATATAGAATCAACGATAACCCTCTTCAAATTTCACCACAGGAGCCTATGAGAATCATGTCATCATTCTAAAGACTACAGTGATTTGAAGTTATGAAGAGGATGGGCTGAAATTAATTGGAACCGCGCACGCATCAGGAAATAATGTCAATCTAGACTGTTGAATCTGTTACAGATGAAAGAAAGAAGCAGGCATTTTCACGATATCTCAAAGTTTTAATGGCTACTTTTTTCCTTTTCTTTTGTTATACCTTTTTCTTTAACTTATCTAATACTTTTATTTACTTTCTTTACCCCCCCAAATTTGCATTGTATTTAATCTCTTAAAATTTTCTTTAATAAAAATTACATGTAATACATAAATAATCAGATCTATCCCTATTTAGCTTTTTTGAGATAAAGCAAAGTTGGTTAAATACTGTTGCCTAACAAAATGAGATTTGGAAAAAGAAAGAAAATATGCAAACATATGCAGTTTCTTAGTGTAATATGAATAATAATCATCTTAATGATGTCTGGAATAGAAAAAACACTGGAAAAAGATGCAAAAATTGCTAGGTGACAGCTGATAGAAAGAAACATCTGATGGAGCTGACAGTGTCAGGCTTCCTTTCAATTCTGTTGCTTCTCTCTCTCTCTCTCTCTCTCTCTCTCTCTCTCTCTCACACACACACACACACACACACACACACAAAGAAGACAAAGCACAAAAGGACTGTGATGCTTTAAGATTAGCTTACAGAGCAGTGTGAAAACATAGATATAGCAAAGCCTGTTAGTTTCTCATCGTGACATATTTTCATTGAAAACCATTTCAAGCATCTTTGAGGGCTAGATTGCCTGATCAATGCAATAAATAAGAGAACATTTAATCTTGAACTAATTACTGAACAATCTAACTCACCAAAATATAGTGTGGTTTGGCCTGCATGTCTTTGCTCCAGATATTTGTCCTTTGAATCAAAACTGGTTGTACAGTCCAAGAAGTTATGTTTAATATAGTAGGGTACTCGGATTGAGAAGTTCTTTTCCATGTGTGGAGAAAGATTCAGGCCTCATAAACTATTAACATTTTTGTTTCTTTTGTTTTTAACCTGTAAAATAATAGGTTTTTAAAGAGAAAACTGTGCCAAAGCACTTTTGTCCATTTTAATAGGAGGGACAGGTAGTTTTTGTTTAACCACCGTAATGAGTACTGGAATTTCTATTACTAAGCAACAGCAACACAGTTGTAAAATGTGACATCATGTGGTCATCTTTTGGGACCTGCTGACTTTCCCTTTGTTTATTGAAAACCAATGAAGGCTGTAACATCATAATTGTGAGCTGCTTGCCAAGTGGATGCTGCAATCTCCTAAGTATGACTGGTCATAAATATTTGTCCAGCATTGTGGTAAATTTGAATGGTTGCTTAACAAATGGCTAACCAAAGACCATCTGTAGTGGTAATACTGTAGCTATCCAAATGATAATTGTGCATATAAGTAAATTTATGCATATGTAGAAAAACAGTGGCCAAATGGAAAAGAAGATGCAGCTCTTATGCCTTTTTAACTGTTGCATAACAGGTTACCAAGCTCTACAACAGTTGTTACTGATCAGTTATCTAATATATAAGAACCCTGTTTTCTCTTGTGTGTGGCCCTATTAATTAATCAATAGGACACATAGGCAAATAAATGGGGATTCCAATTTATGATGGCACCTTTTCTGTTTATCTACTAATAAATGTGAGCCACAGATAATGCATAATTTTGATCTGGATTTGCTTGTTGCAAAAGTCACTTTGTTTATTATATGTCAGGAAAGCACAATGACTTTTCATAACACTTCTTCAATGTGGTAAGTTGTTATACTAGTACCTAGCCTCAAGCACTTAACTGTTGGTCCTGCCAAGTGCAAATCCTTACAGTATGTTTTTCCTGCATTTTTTCTCTCTTGCCAATGGACATTTTTCACACGGATGGTTCTTCAAAGAAAGAAAACCCCTCTTTAAAAAAAGATATATAGTTACAGAATTTGGTCCTGGAATTTGCCTGAGGCTGCTTGCCCCATGTGAATAGAATAATACGACTAGTCATCCAAAATGATTAGCTTCCTGCCTGTTCTACAAGAAAAACATCTGGTGGTATTCCAGCATATTACAGCTTTGTAAGCAGTACTAAAGTTAGGAATATAACCTTTGTAAGAAAGTATTCTTGAGGTCAATGGTTTCATGAAAGGAAATAAAGATAAGCTTTATTTAGAAAACAATCTGGTGATAGGAAAGCCCAAGTAAAATTTATCTTCAAGTTACGTTTATCTTCAGCAAAGAGCTTATTTCTTTGATGGAGAGAGAGCACATGGTTTCTAACTTTAGGTATTAACCTGATATGTTTCCTTTCCAACATCCCCTTCCTGAACAAGATGCTTGAGAACAGAGGCTAAATAAATTAAAACTGTTGTATAAAAGAGTTTTGGGTCCAGTTTTGGCACCTAAACTGATTTGGTCACTTTATTCATCTTTCAATAAGGAGAGAGAGAGAGGGAGGGAGAGAGAGAGAGAGAGAGAGAGAGAGAGAGAGAGAGAGAGAGAGAGAGAGGAGTACATTCTGCAACTTTGGATACCATATGCCATAGTACATAGTATCCTCCTAAAGAGGTTGTTCCAGCCACATGTAGATGGGGAGGGGGGAATTAAGTGATTACCTGAGTTTATCCACAATCAAAAGGGTACCAGCACATATTTGTAGTTCACAATTATTTTCCCTCTAAGAGCAAATAACCATCATAATGTGACTTTAATTTAGCAATTTATCAACATTAGCACATGCATATGTTGATTATTTATTGGACCCTATCCACTCATAGTTTTAATAGCTGCTAGTCAAATTTTAAGCGATGTGGCAATTACTGAATAAAATAAATGTCAATCCTGTGCTAGTTGGTATCTCTTCTTTGTAGTATTTCACTTTTAATGATTTCAGACAAACCTCAGGGTGGGGATCCTTAGCATAAGTGTAGAGATATAGCTGAGAATGAAATGGTGGCACTTTCTAAACTGGAAAAGGAGATAGGCAGAAAGCAATTTCAGCTGCATAGTTCAGCTTCACACACAATACTAAAGCAAAGACAAGCAAATCACAATGTCTTTATACAGCGTGTAATCTAACTAGCCATTACAAGTGGATCCCAAAGACTTGATAGAAGGATGTTTATTAATTGGAGAACTGATCTATCTTTGGAGTATATAATGGGCTAAGGCAGCAGCCTTCAACCTTTTGGGCACCAGGGATGGGTTTCGTGGAGAGAGGTTTTTCCCACAGACTGGAGGGGGTGTGGTTTTGTGTGCTGCCTGCATCCTGTGGATGGGGCTTTGCTTATTTGCATGGCCCACTTTCCAGCATGCCATGGGCTGGTGCCGGTCCATGGACCAGGGGTTCTGGACCCCTGGGCTAATGTGTTCAGACTCCACTATATTAGGCAATATAGGAAAAAGTAGCAATGAAGTCATTAATGATCTCAGGAAATGTTTCTATATTGTATTTCAATTTAATATTAAGAGATGATTCACAAATGTGTAATCAGTGTGTAAGAAGAGCCTTAGTATTATTTCATCATTTGTTAAACATTGGCCAAAGCAATCCATCCGGGAAGCTGATAAGCAGAATATGAACTGGGGGGAAATTGGGAGAGGAAAAAAAATCCAGCTTTCTCTTGCCAGACACATGATGCCTCCATCCCTAATTTGACCACTTCTTTTATATGTTGGGTTTGAAAAATATTAAAAAAGAGCGACCAAGATTACAAATCTTATATGTTACGAATACTGTAAAAGGAGAAACTGACTGATGTTTCTTTGCTAGGCATTTTAAACATGGCTGACCCATGTTATGATCTACAAATACATTTCATTGGCTGCATTCATGACTCTAAACAATATCCAAACCACAGTTAGTCTTTGAATTACAACGACAATGGAACCTAGAATTTTGGACATAAATTGTTGTTGTCATAAGCTGAGACACTGTGTGACTAGACTCAATTTTATGACCATTTTTACAACAGTTGTAAAGGGAGACACTGCAGTCTAAACCCAAACAACAAATTTCATTTTGTAGTGTAAGGTACATCATCAATGTTGATGTGTGGAATTAGATTATTACAAGAGTCATGTATGTGAGTCATAATTTCTTTCAAAATTGATTCAAGAGTCCTCAAGAGGAGAGGCTATAATGGTAATGGAAGAGATCAACCAGTATATTTTCCAGATAATTAACTTGGCTAGGAGTATGAGGTCCAATATGTTTTCAACCTCTTTTATTAGAAATGTCATTTTTCAAAAGAAAGAAGAAACTGCAAGGTTAGTCTTCCTGGATATATCCCTAACCAACAGAGAGGAATTAGGCTGAGGGACTAAAGCAGCCATTTGGGGGAACTGTGGCCATGTCATGTTGGAGATCAAACCAAGGAAGATCAAACCAATGAGAGAAGTCAGTCATACATCATGAATTTCAGGAAAGCAAATGTTAATGAATTCAAACAATAGGTGGGCAGTATGCCATAACTTGAAATTTTAAATTTTGAACAAACCAAAATAAGGGTTCTTTAAAAATTGTTATAGGGGAAAATATTGATTTAAGAGACCTGGATGCAATGGACATTTATATTGTTTGTATTACGTTGTTATGCAAATAATCAAAAGATACAAGTATTATTTGTATAATACTGCTGTAAGCCATTATTCTCCAATTTAATGAACAATTAGGAGTAATAGATACCTTTTCCAGACAAATAGTCCATTAAAGTGCTGAAAGCACAAGCATCCCATAAAAAGGGCAAATGGGAAAAGCTTAAGAGGTGTATGATTAACTTATGAATCTGCTGAGATGGAAAAAAGAATTGGAAAGGGAATGGAAGCAGGGCTGCTAGATATGGAGGAGTACAAGCTGGTAACTCCAACCAGAGAATAATGCAAAATATAAGGATTTATGGGGGTTATATTTGGATTCAATTAGAAAGATGGGGAAAGGAATAATGGTATCTGGGGAGGAAAGGCTCAATAACATTATCTTCTCTCAACCACAATAGTGCCAAAATAGAACACTTCTGTGCCTTATTTAATTGTTGCATATTAAGAAAAATTATTTTTACAAGATTGAAAATGGCCAATGGCAGATTTAAATAAGATTATCTAGGTTTATTCCTAGTTAGCACTTGGGACAGGGGAGAGCACCAGGAAATCCAAGAGCCACAAAAATAACAAAAGAAAGCTTTTCCTGTTATTGCCAAGAATACTACACGGAAGTTTCCATATCATTCTTAACAGCCCAGATTAATTTGACCCAAATCCAGAAAAAAGCCAAGAACCATATAAAGTGCGTACGTATGCAGAGTGAATGAAACAGGTCTTGTGTTTCCTTCTTTTCCTCTATTACTATCTAGTGGAGTGGCTGTTACTAAACAGTTATTAAAGGAGAGGAGGATTAACATGAATTACTGACTGTTAGTAATAGTGTAGTGTGGCAACTAAAGCAAGAAACAAGAGGAAAAGAAAAGCCTTCCCCTCAAAAGCACTTTTTCTAAGCAGTGATTTATAGTCATGGATTTAAGGCATCAAACTACATATTAAATAAAACATATTGTATTGCTGATCAGAAGGAACATTAGCAGTAAATTAAGAATACACCTATTATTTAACAGTGTGTTCTTGAAAGGTCTTGTGTGAGTGAGAGTCAAATATTTTGTCCCTTGTCAGATTATTTGGGATGCAATTATTTTTAATTGGTGACATTAATCTGAAAAAAATGTTATATAAGCTTATTTCAAATTCTTCAGGGAAAATTAGAAGGGCTCAGTCTATTATGGTTGTGTTTTATCTGTTCGCCACAATTTATTCTAACAATGAAAGGGAACTCTTCAGAGTTTGCCAAGTAGGAGGTCCATGCTTGTAAGAATGAAGGAATGCCTGCAGTAAAGATATAGCAATAGTCAATAAATGCATTCTTTTTATAGCTGGGTGACAGTAGTGTCAGGTCTTAAATTGGGTTTTTTTCCCTCTCCTATGCTGGTTGAGAGAATATCAACTCTTAAGATCAGTTACTAAAGGTGATTAAATGCTAAAATATTTAAGAAAAATTGGAGAAGGTACTATGGCATACTATACAAATTATAGAGCAGTTTTTAGCTGTGGTCAACAAAATGAAATCATTAGTGACATATTGATATTGGGCAGATTATAAAAATTAGATTCCCCATATCTGACATAAATATTGAAGATTACTACCGTGGCATTGCCGCTCCAGTCTCCTCCAGGTATCTTCGGGACTAACTAGGAGATGGTGTAGTTGGGTAGCAGGGAGGGGTGCAAAGTTCCTGCCAATTAGCCTTCGCTGCAGACAACTTACATGTGCAAAATTTGCTGGTCGGATGTTTTGGCGCGCTCAGCAGCAATTCCTATTGGCTTTCAAAAGCTGATAGGGGGAATAGCACAGCTCATGCAAAAGTTGAAAAAAAAACAGCAAAAAAGGTGCTGGAACACCATTCTGAGCATTCTATGAGGGAAAAAAAAAGCCCTGCAGATTAGTCTTCAAATATCGAAAAGGAGGACATGTAGGAGGACACTTTTCGAGGGAGGACAGAACTCACAAAAGGAGGACTGTCCTCCCTAAAGGAGGACGGTTGGTCACCTTAAAGAGGATGTGTAGTGTCTCAGATAATCTTACGGATCCTGCTCAAGCAATGCTTCTGTGCTATGTCCTGGATGGGAGGCAAGGAACTACCAATGATCTTTTCGGCCATTTTCACCACTCTCTGCACCGCCTTCCTGTCTAAAGCAGTGATGCTTCCAAACCAGACTGTGATGCTGTATGACAGGATGCTCTTGATCGTCCCTCTGTAGAAAGTGGTCAGGACAGGGGAAGGAAGATGTGCTTTTCTCATGCAAGCAGAAAATGCAGGAGCTGCTGTGCCCACTTCACCAGTTTCTCACTGTTGAGTGACCAAGTCAGCCTACTTGTTAGCTATACACCCAGGAATTTGACACTGGTAACCATCTCTATAGGTGAATCATTAATGCACAGAGAAGTGTGGCTGTGCCTGCCTTTTCTGAAATCAACAATGATCTCTTTGATTTTTCCGGTATTTAAGACTAGGCTGTTTTCCTTACACCAGTTCACCAACCCCTCAACCTCGAAGTAAGCTTCCACCTTGTCATCCTGAATAAGGCCCACTACTGTTGTATCATCTGCGAACTTCACAATATGGTTGGCGGCAAACCTGGCACAACAGTCATGAGTCAACAGGGTGAACAGCAGCGGACTTAAGACGCAGCCCTGAGGAGAACCTGTGCTCAAGAAAATGGTATTAGAGGTATTTGTTGGCTAAAATATTGTAAAGATAACTAAAAGAGGTCATTATATCTAAAAAGTGATAAAATAGTTGAATTGGGGAAAAATATTGTGAGCTTGAAACCTAGACCAAAATAGTGAGGGAAAGATAGGATGAGGTTAAAAACTGTCTTTTCTTTTGTAGCTCAGAGAACATCATAAATACACTTTCAGTTCTGAGCTACACATATTTATACTTTTGGAATCTTTAACATTGGCAAGAACAGAATCTCAACTGTACCTGAAGATACCAGGCTAACTTAGAGAGGAAGGGGAAGCTGTTCTTGCTGCCAACAAGTCTTGTTCCAGGAAGCACTTTCTTTTACTGGATTATTACACACTGCTGTGTGTCTGGCTTGTACATTGTACTGGGTCATATTTGTTTTACTCTGCTTGATTACAACATTGGGTGAAAAAGTTAAGACGGCAAATGCAACATGATCAGGACACTGCTTTCATACACATCCTCCCTTGCAGACATTCCTGGTTGAGTAAATGAATTGAGCTCACCTAATTCGTAAACCCTCTGCTATGAATAATAGCTAGGTCCACACTTTGTCTCTTGGTGACCAAAAGCAAGTGATTTTAGGGAAATCATTCTTAGTTCAGCCTTGTTGCAAAGTCTCTATGGAGATTCTCAGTCATCCAGGTCATGGCTGTCCCAAAGGTTCTTTTTCAAAAGGCAACTGGACTTTGTTTTTCCTTGAGGACAGTTTCACTTCTCACCCAACTGAAGAAGCAGCTTCAAGGAAAAACAAAGTAAAAGTGCCTTTTGAAAACCCACTTTTGGGTCATCACAGAGAGATTACTGAATGTTGGAGAAAAGTATGGGGATTTTTTTTTTTAAAGGAGAGCAGAAAAGTCAAACTTGATTCTCCATGAGAATATGGGCCACATCGATGTCATTTTGTTTAAACAATATGAAAATGCTTTGTAACTGACCATTTTTTTAAAAAAAAATTTTCTTCAGATTTTATTAATCCTTTTATTAAAACAAAGCCAGACACAACTCCTTGGTGTAGCCTGCAACAGGTCTAAGACTTTTCATCTGAAGCTCCCCAGCAAGTCACAACAAGATCAGGTAGCAGGTGCGGATTATCTGCTGAGTCTCCTGGAGAAAAGGTAGGGTATGCATCCAAAGAATGAATAAAAACACGTTATGTTTCACCGCCAAAGAAAAAAATGTCGTCTGCCAGGTAGATTTCAATATAAGGGTGTGGCGGGGGACGAAACACTATGCTTCTTTCCACCTTCCGCTGTCAAAAATGTCTCGGGCCGGTCCCGCCATCCTGGAAAAGGCCTTTGAATCCGCATGCGGCGAGGCTTTAATACAACCCGCCAGCCGACAAGCAACGAAGGCAATTCCCGTTTGATCCGCCGTTTCTCTTGCGCTCCAAGCGGCCTCCAGGCTCCTCCTCCTCCTCCTCGTCCTCCTCCTCCGCCTGCAGGTGAATTAAGACGACCTCCTCCGGCTTTCGCGGTTGCTAACAATGCGTTGTCGCCGCTGCCGTCGCTCCTGCGCACTGGAAAAAAGTGGAGCAATATTACTAGGAGGAGGAGGAGCAGGAGGAGGGAGAAAAAGAAACGATAAAGAAAAAAAAAAAGAGAGAGAGAAAGAAAGCGGGAGCAGATCTACTCCATCCTCCTATTCCTGCAGCAGCAGCAGCAACAGCCCGCCGGGTACATTCAGCGCCGCTTACCCACAGAAGCCAGCTTCCCTTCTCTCTGCTGCCTTCGGTCTCTTCGGCCCACCGAGATCGGAAGGAAAGGCCGGACCGATCCGGTTGCAACGGGACGCGGGGGCTGCCAAGCAGTCTTGCTGCTCCCTTCTTGGAGAGGTGAGACTGGGCGAACGAGGGCGGACTCCCGCCCGCGCCGCCGAATAGACTTTCCCCGGGAAAAGCTCGCTCTTTTAAGCTTCCTATGGAAACGAGGAGCCGCTTTTCCCATAGCGCGGAGAGGGGAAGGTGCGGGAGGCAGGACGGAGCCCCATAAAGAAGGCCTAGTGGCCCAGCGGCTGCCGCAGCCCCCCCACACGCCGTTATTACCCCGCCGCCGTATAAGAGGAAAGTCTACTGAGTTCCCCGATTATTAAGCGGGCCGGGAGGTGTGTGTGTGTGTGGTGGGGGGTGACTTGCCCCTCAACCAATAACGGAAGGCTTTGCCTTGGTTGCCGGGGCAACCTTCAACGGCGCCTGTGGGATACATCGCCCTGCAGCAGCCCTTCAGTTCGTTTCACAACTGACTTCAGATTGCCCCCTTCCGCCCCCCCTTTTTTTGGCATTGCAGCATTTCTTGAGAGGACTACTGGGGCGACGGGGGTGGTGGTCTGGGAAAGGATGTCCGGGATGGGGCCCTTTGGGTGTCTCTTGACCCTGATTTTGATCGTCGAATATCAAATGGCAGACTTGGCTTTTGGTGACCGGCCCCTTAGAGAGGAGCGATTTGCCCAGTTGAGTGACGGGGAGATGCGTTTGCATGTTGTGCCTTTTCCCACACAAGTGTTCAATTTGTCCCTGAGGATTTCCATCATCTCAGCAATCTTTCCCCTGACCTTCCTGGTTGAAAGGAAGGCCACCCCCCCCCCAAATAACCCCGCAGTTCTGGGAAAATACTCTTTAAGAGAAGAGGGTACAAGCTGGGGTTGCCAAGACTTGTTTTTCTGAAGCCCTGGTCTTTTGAGGAGGATATCTAAGGTGTGGTTTGTGGTCTCAGGCCAGGTGAGGGGAAAGGAGGTGTCCTTGTTCAGGATGCCTTTCACATCGTTGTCATCTAGAAATGCAGATACTGTAGAACAGTGGTGCTCCTCTTTGATGACTTTTATTGTTTTAACTATGTATAAAATACAAAGAGAAATAAAAATAGGACATTAAGGGAAGGAAGAAAGGGGGGGGGTGAAGAAAATATGAGGTACAAGGGAAGAAAGAAAAAAAAGTATATTCATTTTAGCACAGTGCTAGATAACAACATTCCAGCCTCAACCTTTTATTTTTATGCATTAGTATAGGACTAGCCATTTCTATAAAAGTATGTATAGTCAAGGCCATGGTTTTCCCAGTTGCAATGTATGGATGTGAAAGTTGGACCATAAGAAAGGCTGAGCGCAAAAGAATTGAGGCCTTTGAACTATGGTGCTGGAGAAGACTCCTGCGAGTCCCCTGGACTGCAAGGCAGTCAAACCGATCAGTCCTAGAAGAGATCAACCCTGACTGCTCTTTAGAAGGCCAGATCCTGAAGTTGAAACTCAAATACTTTGGCCACGTAATGAAAAGGAAGGGCTCACTGGGGAAGAGCCTAATGCTGGGAAAGATTGAGGGCAATAGAAGAAGAGGACGACAGAGAATGAGGTGGCTGGATGGAGTCACTGAAGCAGTAGGAGTGAGCTTAAATGGACTCCAGAAGATGACAGAGGACAGGAAGGTCTGGAGGAACATTGTCCATGGGGTCGCAATGGGTTGGACACGACTTCGCAACTAACAACAACAAGCCATTTCTATAACAACAAATTTATTTAATCGGCGAAACCAAAGTTTCATTTTTTTCATCACAAGCACAAAATCCAGAAGTGATATCCAAGTAAAAAACATAATTAAATATATTCTCCTCTTTGAATAAAACAATTTAACTATTTCTGCTTTATCTTCCTTGCTGTGGAAATATGTATTTCTATTTGCCCTTTATAAACTATCACCATTTATATCAGGGGTGTCAAACTCGCCGCATCACATGACATATGACCTATCGTTACTTTTTCCCCCTTGCCGGAGCTGGCATGGGTGGAGATGGGATGGGCTGGGATGGGCATGGCTTCCCATGATGCATCCGGCCCATGGGCCGGCAGTTTGACACCCCTGATTTATATTAACAAAATTCACTGTATCATTTCAGATTCTTTAACCTTAAAGGGAAAAATACTTTTTTTCATCCATTTTAAAACACTAAACTTTTCTTTAAAAACATTTCTGCAGTCAAAACTTTCTAATGCATCTTTTTTTACTTCCCCTTAACATGCATACTTTAAAGTTCACTATTTAGATCACTCCTTTCAAGTTACCCTCATAGAATATTTTTTTCTTCTTGTATACATCCTTTTAAAATTGTAAACCTTTCTTTAAACTAATACATCTTTTTTAACTTTCTCTTAACACAGATACTCTCAAATACACTTTCAATAATATTTTACAAACTTTAGGGATTACTTAAGCATTATATATGCTGTAAAGGAAAAATACATTTTCAAATTTAAAACATTAAGACTTCCTTTCAATTACAAATATTAAACTGATGAAAATCCATCCTAATTCCAATTGACTCATTAAATTTAAGTCACTCTTTCCAGCTTGCCTTCAAAGAGTAAAGTCTTTTTGCTTTCTGGAATGTTTGTCAAGTAATTATAAACTCTTTTTTTTTTCCAAGGATTTCTCAACTTTGTTAATGTCCATAAGGAAAAAGTCCCAAACTTGTCCTTTTAAAAATTGCAGTTTTTCTTGGAGCTCTTCTTTCAATTGTGTTGGGAGGTTTATTTTTAAACCATCATAATAAGAGTTGGTATCAGGTTTATATTTCAAAATTGCAGTTCAGTCCTTTGCATTGTCAGCTACTAGTCTAGTGAAATTGCCTCGGTGGTTTGATAACTTTCTACACATATTTGCATCTCTGAAGTAGTTGAGAAGTTTTTTTAAACATCCTTGGAGCATAGCTGATCTATGAACTGGTGTTTTTTATTTAAAGATTTTTCAAATCTCTAATAATTTGCTCCTCCATCTTCTTATGTAGAGCAGTGGTTCTCAATCTTTTCTTCACCATGGATCCCCTTTAAATACCTTTTGGGGCCACAGACCATGGCCACGGACCACCAATTCTTAACTCAAGATTTAAATCATAAAAGTTCTTCAAGATTTTATGGACCTTCGTGACAACATCACGGGCCCCCAGGGGGTTGAGAACCAAGGCTTTAGAGCTTTTCATATTGTAAAAAGCCATATGATAAACCTGTGCTATTAGCTACATCAAAGCAGTTTGAAGAATAGGCTTAATTTGACTGTTAATGGAAAGGAATCATATCGCATTCTTAAAAACTACTTTGTCCCCCCCCTTGCTATTCTGGGGCAATGTACATAATTCTTGGGCTGCTTCCTTTATATCCAAATACGGATCATATCCAGATATTCTGGACTTTCGGATCATGTTCTGAAAGTCTTTGTGAGTATGGGGGTTTCCCCTTTTTTTGTTTTCCATTTGCCCTTTTAAAAACATCATTATGGTACTTTTTCCTGTTAAGTTTCCCCTGTCTCTTCCCTTATATTGATTGATCTGTGATGTACTTGGATGAGGAAACGTTCACGGAAGGCTATTTTGACTGGATTCGCATACAGTTATGCATTAGGCTAAAGTGCAGTTGACTGATTTGTGTTTCAGTGTGTTGTGAATTGAAGCAAGAGAGTTAAATCAATAAAGCTTGGTTTTGTTAATATATGCAATCAAATTCTTTGTGACGTTGACAGTGCATTGTTAATGTGTCCAATCAAAGTCTTTTGAGAAGTTATCAATACATATTGCAATGCATGTTGACAACTTCTCTTGTTTTGGTGGTATTTATTTATAATGAGCTTTGGAACAGGAAATTGGGAGATAACATTTCTTGAAGATTTAGAACTGGGCTTTAGGTCTTGGGTTGCTGACACCAGATAAAGAGATTACTGCTAGTGGTGGTGTTTTTATACAGTACATTATAGTATGCTGTACAGTGGTCATCTCCTGGGAGATTATAAAAGTTTTCTACAAAATATTAGTGTGTTGGGGGAAAACGATGTTTAAACTTTTGTTTTTGAATAGTGCAGAAAGTCTACTGGAAAATGTAACAATCATTTATGCAATTCTAAGCAGTTCTTTGACTTGGGTCCAATTTTTATCATGTAATTTATGAAAACCTTTCAGGCTGAAACTCTACAGTAAATATTAGAAGTAAATATATAAATAAGCAAACATAGGAAAACAGCTTTGCATCCAGCTAAAATTCTGTGTATTCCAACATCCTGTTTCTATAGTGAGCCTGACAAATTGGTAGGGGGACAAATAAGAACTCCTTTGCACTAATGTTCATCAGCCTTTATCCTGAGAGCCCTGAGAAAATGTATAGCTATCATGATTAGTAGCTATTAATAACTTATTCTCTATGAATAAGCCTAATAATCTTTGAAAGCTATCCAGCTTTGGGCTTATCACTTGGAATAGTAAATTCCATGGCTTAAGCATGCAGTATATAAAGGAGTCCTTGTTTTATTTATCCTGATTGGAAAAGATTGTTATGGATCTTCTGTTCATCTGCTTTCTTCACAAAATGCCTGATTTTAATGCTTCTTGTTGCTTCTCCATAAACTATATTTAGTTTTTGTTAGTAGCTACCGTAGTAGTGGAATCTGTTTATAAGGATATTTTGAAATTTGGAATGACATGGATGCATAAAGCTCCAAAATTATGGAATAGATGTGGGTTTGGGGAAAGAAACAGAAAAAATGAACAAGAATGGAAATTATGGCAAAGTAGCAAAACTTTTGCTTTTGCACTCAGGGAGAATTAGCCCAACATTTCTGCCACTTGTTTTATTTTGGGGAATGTAGGCTAAGGAGCAAAATGAGTATTTAAACACTCATATTACTTCTTGAAATTCCAAATACCAT